AAGTCTTACAGATATAGTATACTTTTCAGACAGCAGATGGCACTGTGTCACATCACTGACAGTAAAAGTGAGAACAGCATATCTATACATAATATATATATAAAAATATATATTTCTTATTTTTTTTAATAGAAACCATTTTATTGCAAGAGCATGTCTCCCCCATTCTCTTGTTGAATTTTATCTACTACAACTCTGCCTTACACACATTATAATCCAGTATAAACACAGGTCGCTGCTACCCATTTTAATACATTTTGTCTCACTGTACAGAAGTCTCAATAAAAGTAGTACAAAGTAATTTATCACATCTTTCATGTCTGTACCTATAACGTCTGCCAAATACCCTATATTTCAGTAGCTGAATAGCTCCTTTTTATAGACTTTAAAATATGCCACTTGTAGTATAATAAAAACACAGTACTTAGCTAAATGATTGCAACATACTATTGAAGGCAAAAAGTATCTTAATACAATTTCTGAAAACTAAACATATTTCGAGGATAATTCACATTATTATGGATCTTGACACATCTGTGTCTAAAGATAAGTGCAGTGTCTTTATTTTTGGCTTATGCCCTACAATAAGGTCAACTACGATCATTTAATCTGATATTACATAGGAGCAAATTATTTTTCTTTTCCTCTGCCTTGGATGAGAACTGTTTACACGATCATTATAAATAAAAAAAATAAAACAATTTTTTTTACATTTCTGTATCATATGACTGCAGTTTAAAGGTAAGTGCTCTCCTTTCAATTGCTGACCCTGGTGGAGTTTCTCTCATAAAAACAAACACATAGGTTGGTGAAGGTATATTGAAAATATAACTTTCATTGATTCCATAGACAAATGATTCTAAATCTATTCTATTTTGAACAGAAAAAAAATATTTGCTAATACACCAAAAAAAGTAGTTAATAATTGTTAATAGCGCATGTAGATAAGTGGGTCATTCAAATATCATTTAAATTTGGATAAAGATGTGTCCTGCATGCACATAGTTACGCATTTATCTAGATAGAACATTAGGGTTAAGGGGGTGGACTACTTCCAGTATAATGGGATGATGCTTTTAGCAATGTTCAGGATGCAGTCTGACATTGACTTTTTATATGCCGCCATTGGGGTAGATGTGTGCAGTAGTAGAAAAGATGTCAGTTCAAAGGTAGGTGGATTGTCAGAGAATTTAGATTGAAATATGTTTAGTCTGCCAAATTTGTATTAAGATTATCTCCAATAGTATGAAATCGTTTAGCTAAACACTGTGTTTTTATTATCTACAAGTGGCATAAAGACTATAAACAGAGCTATTCAGCTACTGAAATATAGGGTATTTGGCAGATTTTAGATTCAAGCATGAAAGATGTGATAAATTACTTTTTATGACTTTTTTCAATATTTAGTATTTATTCAAATTTTATTTTTTTTAAATAAAAAAAAACACAAAAGGCATACAAACATAATCATAGGATGTATATATCAAAGCATTTCTTTTTAACATTTGTTACTTATATATCATATACAATATATGGCATATATTCGGATTGGTTAGCTTACTCCGTATAGCAATGCATTACATATTTCTTTAAGTTCAGGTTACATCTATACTTGAGTAATAGCAATATATCTGATATTTTATATCAGATAAGACATCTACCGCTGTTCAATAGCACAAAGTATTTTCGTAAGCATCTTAGAATGCGCACTTGTTCATTTAGATGCCTCTCTACAGACTTATACACTATTGTGAATGCTCCACACTACTATGTTTTCTCCATGTGCTCCACAAGTATATCCAAAGTATTCTAATTAAACATTAAACATATTTAAACAAAACAAACAAAAAAAAAAAATATATATATATATATATATATATATATATATATATATATATGATATATATGTGGGAGGAGGGAATAAAAAAAGGACCTTAACTATGGTAATTAGTGTGGATATACAGTTGCAAGAAAAAGTATGTGAACCCTTTGGAATGATATGGATTTCTGCACAAATTGGTCATAAAATGTGATCTGATCATCATCTAAGTCGCAACAATAGATAATCACAGTCTGCTTAAACTAATAACACACAAAGAATGAAATGTTGCCATGTTTTTATTGAACACACCATGTAAACATTCACAGTGCAGGTGGAACAAGTATGTGAACCCCTAGACTAATGACATCTCCAAGAGCTAACTGGAGTTAGATGTCAGCCAAATGGAGTCCAATCAATGAGATGAGATTGGAGGTGTTGGTTACAGCTGCCCTGCCCTATAAAAAACACACAACAGTTCAGGGTTTGCTTTTCACAAGAATCATTGCCTGATGTTAATGATGCCTCGCACAAAAGAGCTCTCAGAAGACCTACGATTAAGAATTGTTGACTTGCATAAAGCTGGAAAGGGTTATAAAAGTATCTCCAAAAGCCTTGCTGTTCATCAGTTCATGCTAAAACAAATTGTCTATAAATGGAGAAAGTTCAGCACTGCTGCTACTCTCCCTAGGAGTGGCCGTCATGTAAAGATGACTGCAAGAGCACAGCGCAGACTGCTCAATGAGAAGAAGAATCCTAGAGTGTCAGCTAAAGTCACTGGCAAATGCTAACATCCCTGTTAGCGAATCTACAATACGTAAAACACTAAACAAGAATGGATTTCATGGGAGGATACCACAGAGGAAGCCACTGCTGTCCAAACAAAACATTGCTGCACGTTTACAGTTTGCACAAGAGCACCTGGATGTTCCACAGCAGTGCTGGCAAAATATTCTGTGGACAGATGAAACCAAAGTTGAGTTGTTTGGAAGAAACACACAACAATATGTGTGGCGAAAAAAAGGCACAGCACACCAACATCAAAACCTCATCCCAACTGTGAAATATGGTGGTGGGGGCATCATGGTTTTGGGCTGCTTTGCTGCATCAGGGCCTGGATGGATTGCTATCATCGAAGGAAAAATAAATTCCCAAGTTTATCAAGACATTTTGCAGGAGAACTTAAGGCCATCTGTCTACCAGCTGAAGCTCAACAGAAGATGGATGTTGCAACAGGACAATGACCCAAGAATAGAAGTAAATCAACAACAGAATGGCTTAAACAGAAGAAAATACGCCTTCTGAAGTGGCCCAGTCAGAGTCCTGACCTCAACCCGATTGAGATGCTGTGACATGACCTCAAGAAAGCGATTCACACCAGACATCCCAAGAATATTGCTGAACTGAAACAGTTCTGTAAAGAGGAATGGTCAAGAATTACTCCTGACCGTTGTGCATGTCTGATCTGCAACTACAGGAAACGTTTGGTTGAAGTTATTGCTGCCAAAGGAGGTTCAACCAGTTATTAAATCCAAGGGTTCACATACTTTTTCCACCTGCACTGTGAATATTTACATGGTGTGTTCAATAAAAACATGTCAACATTTCATTCTTTGCGTGTTATTAGTTTAAGCAGACTGTGATTGTCTATTGTTGTGACTTAGATGATGATCAGATCACATTTTATGACCAATTTGTGCAGAAATCCATATCATTCCAAAGGGTTCACATACTTTTTCTTGCAACTGTATGCTCATAATGCTCTTACAATTATGTTCTATTCCATACTGCCTCTTTCCTATACTGTGACCATCTACGCCACTTTTGTTTGTGTTTTTCTTCCCTACCCTCTATTCTGTAGGCACGTTTTTCATATTGACATACCATATCCAATCTCTCTAGTACATCTGGTATATCTGAGGGTATCATTTTTTTCCAATTGTAAGTGATGCAAGTTTTAGCAGCCAAAAGCAACTGCACAATTGCTGTTTTGTTTGGTATTGTGTGAACGTTTTGATGCACATGTAATAAGTAAAATGATTTGTTTAACTGCAGTCCAGAACTGCAAAGTGAGACTAGAAAATGGTGCCACATAAATTTTCCTCCTAGATGGGAGTTAACCCCTAGTAAAAATAATTTCACCAAAAATGTACAAAAGGCAAAAGGAGATCAGGAGAAAATAGGATTATGATAAAATATCTTCAAAAGTGGCTTTCCACTAGTTCCGGGAAATAGGAAAATTAACCCAAAGAAAGGGGGGAGTACATAACGAAAAAAGTGCAACCTCGATAAATGTTTCAAACTTAACTTTTAATAGAAACAAGCATAAATAAGGTGAGAAAAACCTTACCTTGGAGACAAATAGTTAAAAAGTATGTGTTGGTGGAAAGAACAGCCCACCAAGTCTGTCTGAGACTAATATCAAGCTAGCCTTATTAACTGTGAAATAAAAAGCCCGCTATGATACAAAATTTCACTCTCAACAGGTTAAATTTGTGCTTATCTGAGACGAGGGGCTATTGCAAACACAATTGTTCAGATGGTTAACTGTCTAAACTGTGCGTATAAGCCACAGTGACAGCAGGTCAGAGATTAAGGTTTTGACCAAACTAGGTATTAAGGCAAAGTCTCATGTGAGTAGTAAAGATACATATAAACATATAAATACATATGCAACTGGATCACATAACATAACCCGTTATTAACATTTGATAGCGTCAGAGGTGTACCTAGAGCATTTGGCACCCGGGGCGGACCCTGAGTGTGGCACCACCCTCCCCCATAATAAAAATGTAAGAAAACACCCACAATTTTTTCAATGTTTTCAATACTATTTATTTCACAAATTTGTAAACTATATATCAACTTGAAAAAAATGGAACTATGAAAAATAAATTAACTTAGAAATAAATAAAATGTAAATAATTAACAATTACTTAACAGTTAATACACTTTCTATAAACAAAAAAACACACAGATCCAAAGTGAACACTCAGTCTATTCGGCAGAGGTAATGTGCAATGATTCAAATCCGCTGCGTTCGAGCCTTCATTTCTGCAAATTTATCGATTACTTCATCAAAGCCAATCTTCCTTGCATATTCATGCTCAATTGAAAGTATAGCCAGATTTGTCAACCTTGTCTCACTCATGGTTGAGCGAAAGACATTTTTTAGCAATTTTTATTTGGAAAAACTTCTTTCACATGAAGCAATAGACACACAGAGAGTCAAAAAGAATCTTAAACATAGTGACAAATTTGGCATAGATTCACAATAATCCCATTTAACAATGAACTCCAGGAACTGCAATGCCGTCCATTTCTTTGCTTCTTCAACACTGAGCTTGGCAGCTTCTAAATGCCTCTGAAGACGTTCAATTTCCCTAAAGATGTCTTCATTAGAGAATTCGTCAAAAATCTCAGTCAATTTTGGAGTATAATTATGAATATCTTTCTCTGTTGCCCCAACCAGAGAGTTTGGCTGAATAACAGCAAACATTGAAAGGATTTTTTCAATTGCCTGGGAACGAATTTCCAACTCGTGATGAAAACGATCAAGGCACTCAAACATAGCCCTTTTCATTTCCTCTGGCAATGTGAGACCAGCGTCCTTTGCCTTCATTCCTGGCATTGTTTTACGGAGCTTTACTCTCCCTCTTCTTTCCATTGAAATGTCCATTTCTTTACACTTAGTAGTTGCATAACAAATGGCCTTCTCTGCAATTTCACTGCACTGATCTGCTAGAAAGGCTTTCAAACCTTGTAGTTTCACAATGCACTTTTCAAGAGTGAGTCCCACAGTTTGCAAATATTTCTGTGTGATATTAACTTCTTCTAGAACTTCACACCAGAAAGAAAGGTAACACAAAAAAGAAAAATCACATACGGCAGACAGCAACATCTAAGCCGATCCTCTTGTGTCCACATTTTCTTTGGGATTACACAATTTTTCAAGGGCAGAAGTCAGTTTTTCAAAATTTGCCCTCACTGGCTTCACAGCATCATAATGAGCGCTCCATCTTGTTTGGGAAAGTCTTTTTACTGTCACACCCAAATTTTCCATCAGCAATTCCCAACGATGTGTAGAAACCGAAAAAAAGGAATACACTCTCTCCAATGTTCCAAAAAAGGTCACACTTCCAAATGATTGCGCCCCACATAGGTTCAGGGAATGGTTAGCACATGGCATAAACAAAGCCTTGGGATTAATCTCTTTTATTTTTGCCTGAACACCACCATGAATCCCTGCCATAGTTGCAGCATTATCATATCCTTAACCACGGCAAAGGCTTATGTCTAGTCCATCTTCCTCCAGATGTTGCAGGATATTTTCTGTGAGCTCAGCAGCAGTCTTTTCAGCAACAGGAAAGAAGCCCAAGAATGATTCTTTAACTTCAACATGGTCCCCTTCAATATGAACATATCTGATCACTTCACACATTTGATCAGTGTGGGACACATCAGGGGTGCTGTCAAAAAGAATCCCAAAGTACTTTGCTTTCTTGATATCAGCCACTATTTTTTCCTTCACATGATTTCCCAAAAGACAAATTAATTTGTTCTGAATTTTTGGAGAGAAATAGGAAGTCATTCTCTTTCCAGATGCAACAGCATGTTTCAGCCTCATGAAATGTTCCTTTAAAATGGGATCATAGTTTGAGAGCAATTCTACCAATTCAAAGTTGCCTTTGTTTGCGGATGACATGGTCTCTCTATGACCACGAAAGGGAAGATTCTGGTGAGCCAGAAACAAAGTTACATCCAAAAGGCGATGCAAAATATCCCTCCATTTCCTTTTCTCTCTGTCCACTGTTGTTTGATTGACACGATCAAGGCATTTTTGTAGCTTCAATCCTGCTCTCAAGGTCTTCCATTTCTCCAAGCATGTAAGATGCTGCTCAGAATCCTCATGATCAGACACCTTTGGGTTCAGCTTCCACCACAATTGAAACCCAGTAACAAAACTGGATGCCACTGTTACTTTGTCATCAACAGCAAAAAGTCTGCAGCAAAAACAAAACAAACTTTGTTTTAATGGAGAGTACACCATCCACGTTCTAAGAATTTTTTCGCCATTAGGCAGAGCCTTATAGAACCATGCAGTGGTCAGCTGTTGACTCTTCCCTTTTGATTTCTCTCCTTGCCTTTCAACAGGACTGAATGGCCCATCTCTATTTTGGAAAGGTTCACTTCCCCTCTTAATAAGGTCCACTCTTAAATCATCTGGAACTGGAACTGGCCAAGCAGCAACATCAGAATAAACTGACAGTCGAAAAGTCTCCTCTTCTTCTTCTCCATCATCATCATCATCATCATCAGAGTCTTGCTGATGCAGGCTTCTGCTGGCATTTCCTTCATCTACATCACTTTCACCGCTTGAAAATAATGATCTTCTCCAATTCTTGCGCTTTCACATATGAAGCATCTTGAGAAGATACTTCAGGCATTTCACCTCTAGATTCAACAGACTGAATGTCTTCAGCACCTTCTCCTACTGCGGTAGATGTTGAAGGTGCAACATATTTTAAAATTGATCCAGACATTGCCTCAGCTGACTTTTCTCTTGCCTTCTTAATTTTTCGTTGCTGAGACCCGCTTGGTCGATTTCGCTTCATATTGGTGTTTTCTGCAGAAAAATCCTAAATTTATTTTGGCTCTAGGGTTTGCTAGTGCGATATCTGTCTTATATTTCCCATCTTGGCATACCATTTGTAAAAGTAGACAACCCAGGGTATTTAAAGGGACACTATTGTCACCCAGACCACTTCAGCTCAATGAAGTGGTCTGGGTGCCAGGTACCCCAGATTTTAACCCTGTAGATGCAAAAATCGCATCCAGCTTGCAGAACGTCCATAGGAAAGCATTGAGAAATGCTTTCCTATGGAGTGTTTGAATGCGCGCGCGGCTTTTGCTCCACTCGGGAGCTGACGTCGGCGGGGAGGAGAGGTCACCAGCACCGAGGGAGCCTGGCGCTGGATTAAGGTAAGTGGCTGAAGGGGTTTTAACCCCTTTAAACCCATTCAGCCACTTTACTTTCTCCAGCATCGGGCTCCCTCGGCGCTGGTGACCTCTTTCCCCCTGCCAACGTCCAGGGCCGTCTTTAACGCGGGGCAAACGGGGCAGCTGCCCCGGGCCCAGTTTCTCTTGGGGGGCCCGAGGCACCTGCCCCGTGGGCCCCGCTGACCCCGGCGGGCGGGTGGCTGGTCGGGCAGGAAGGCGGGCGCGCGAGGGAGCACTCACTGCTTCCTCTTCAGCTCCCTCGCGCACCGCACTGATGCCGGAGCCGGAAGATGACGTCATCTTCCGGCGCCGGCATCCCTACACGGCGCGCGAGGGAGCTGAAGAGGAAGCAGTGAGCAGCTCCCTCGCGCGCCCGCCTTCCTGCCCGACTGGCCACCCGCCCAGGAGCCCAGCAGCACCACTGGACCCCAGGGAATCCCCCCAGCACTCCAAAAGGTAAGGAGGCTGGGGGGATTACATTTTTAAAATAAAATGTGTGTTTGTGTGTATGTGTGTGTTAGTGTATGTGTTTGTGTGTTAGTGTATGTGTGTTAGTGTGTGTGTTTGTGTATGTGTGTGTTAGTGTGTGTGTGTTTGTGTGTTAGTGTATGTGAATGTGTGTGTTTGTTTGTGTGTTAGTGTATGTGTGTGTTAGTGTTTGTGTTAGTGTATGTGTGTGTTAGTGTATGTATGTGTGTGTTGTGTGTGTTAGTGTATGTGTGTTAGTGTATGTATGTGTGTGTTAGTGTGTGTTAGTGTATGTGTTTGTGTGTTAGTGTATGTGTGTGTTAGTGTATGTATGTGTGTGTTTATGTGTGTTAGTGTGTGTTTATGTGTGTTAGTGTGTGTGTTTGTGTGTTAGTGTATGTGTGTTAGTGTGTGTGTTTGTGTATGTGTGTTAGTGTGTGTGTGTGTGTGCGTTAGTGTGTGTTAGTGTATGTGTGTTAGTGTGTGTGTGTTTGTGTGTTAGTGTATGTGTGTGTTAGTGTATCTGTGTGTTAGTGTATCTGTGTGTTAGTGTATGTGTGTGTGTGTCAGCATGTCTGTGTGTGTGTCAGTATGTCTCTGTGTGTGTGTCAGTATGTCTGTGTGTCAGTATATATGTGTGTGTATATCTGTGTGTGTCAGTATGTGTATGTGTCAGTATGTCTGTCAGTGCGTCAGTATGTCTGTTAGTGCATGTGTATGCATGTGTCAGCATATCTGTCTGTGTGTCAGTATATCAGTCTGTGTGTGTCAGTGTAT